GTAAATACAGTAAATACAGATGGCTGTGTTGGATCCCTTTGCTTTTGCCCAACATTCAGCGTTGGAATTGTGGCTTTACCGTCCCTCTTATTAAAGTTATCTAACTTTTTGTAGCTTCGTCAGGTTAGACACGACGCGCGCGGCGGTATCCATCTGGCGGCCGCTGGCGGAACTACCGCGCACGGCCCGCTTGCCGCACGGGCCTGGCGGCCGCCAGTGGAACTACTGCGCAGGTGGCAGCACCTGCCCGTGGAGAAGCGGCTGGCAATCGGCCGCCCCACTCCCCACCCCGCCCCCACCCAGCTGGCCGCCAGACCGTGGGAACGACTCGGCTCAGCACTGCCGCACGCGCATTCAGCGGCGGCTTGTCGATTTTTCGAGTGTCGGCTGCCGATCTCCCGAGAGCCGGCCACCTGTCAGCCGCCGCTCGGCTCTGTGTTAAGCATATGGGGTATCTCACTTTTCCGAGATGTACGTCAAACTACGTATTTAAAACTACATATTCTACAGCCGAATCTTCCAACTGGGGGTACCTCACTCACAATCGCACGTGATTCAGCCGCATTCCTGTGAGGCGCGCAATGTTGAAGAGATATGTGTGCACGCAGATATCTCGCAAGCCCTAAGAGAAAAAGCTCGCTGCAAAAACTGAGCGTTTCAAAAAACCCGAAATCCTACTCAAATGAATAATTAAACAAGATATCTTGGCTCGCTCCGCGTCGCTTTGGCCATAAAAAGTTTCGGGAGAAAATTTGGAATCGAATGGTGTTTTTCCGGTGACGATCGGACGTCTAGAAGCTTCGATATTGGCGAAAAACTTGCTGAACTTGCAAAAGTACTTGGTACTTGCTTGGTACTTGCGAAAGTACTCGGTACTTGCCAAAATACTTGGTACTTGCTTGGTATTTGCATAAGTACTCGGTATTTGCCAAAGTACTTGGTACTTGCTTGGTATTTGCATAAGTACTTGGTACTTGCTTGGTACTTGGTACTTGCCTGGTACTTGTACTCGCCCCCCCGTTCCCCCGACTCTACTCCCACCCCTACCCCCTCGGGATAATTCCGGGTTCGTCGGGTAGGAAAACTTGCCACTCTATCCCCCCCCCCCCAGAGCCATTTGGTATCGATCGGTGTTTGTCCCGTGTCAATCGGTCGTCAATAAGCCGAGATATGTACGGCGACTTTTCAATCGGCGCCGATCAGAATCTTCAGGACGGAGGTACCCACACTCATTCCTGGCCGTAAAGTACTTGGTACTTGCTTGGTACTTGTAAAGGTACTTGTTACTTGCTTGGTACTTGCGAAAGTACTTGGTACTTGCACTCGCCCCCCCCGTTCCCCCGACTCTACTCCCACACCTACCCCCTCGGGATAATTCCGGGTTCGTCGGGTAGGAAAACTTGCCACTCTACTCCCCCCCCCCCCCACAGAGCCATATGGTATCGATCGGTGTTTATCCCGTGTCAATCGGTCGTCAATAAGCCGAGATATGCACGGCGAATTATTTCAATCGGCGTCGATCAGAATCTTCAGAACGGAGGGACCCACACTCATTTCTGGCCGTATCTCACTTTTCCGAGATGTACGTCAAACTACGTATTTAAAACTACATATTCTACAGCCGAATCTTCAAACTGGGGTACTTCAGACCGTGGGAATGACTCGGCTCAGCACTGCCGCACGCGCATTCAGCGGCGGCTTGTCGATTTTTCGAGTGTCGGCTGCCGATCTCCCGAGAGCCGGCCACCTGTCAGCCGCCGCTCGGCTCTGTGTTAAGCATATGGGGACGGCGAATTTCTTCCGGAGGGAAGCACCTCGCTCACAAAAGCACGTGAATCAGCCGCATTCCTGTGTGGCGCGCAATGCTGAAGAGATATGTGTTTCCGCGGGTATCTCGCAAGCCCTAACAGGAAAAGCTCGCTGCAAAAACTCAGCGCTTCAAAAAACCCGCAATCCTACTCAAATGGATATTTAAACAAGATATCTTGGCTCGCTCCGCGTCGCTTTGGCAATCAAAGTATGAGGGAGAAAATTTGGGATCGATTGGTGTTCGTCCCGTGTTAATCGGACGTCTAGAAGCTTAGATATTCACGAAAAACTTGTTGAACCTGCCAAAGTACCTGCCAGCTTGCTGTATCACCTGCTACTTGGTAATGTACTGAAAACTTGCTAATGTTTGCGAATTTGCCTTGGTCTCAGATAATTTTGATTTGTTCCAAAGAATTATTTGTAATTTGAATTATACTTGTTCCCAATTTGTATTTTGTTTCACCTACCTATCAATTCTAACTTGTTTTAGCGTCCTACCTATTAAGCGATTACACATACGTAGAGAGAGCCGGTGGGTGGTTATAATGCAATACCCTGCACGGTGAACAGCTTGCGAGTTTTACAGCGGTGCGATTGCTGGGGCTTATCGCTGACAGAAAAGGGTAAATACAGTAAATACAGATGGCTGTGTTGGATCCCTTTGCTTTTGCCCAACATTCAGCGTTGGAATTGTGGCTTTACCGTCCCTCTTATCAAAGTTATCTAACTTTTTGTAGCTTCGTCAGGTTAGACACGACGCGCGTGACCTCTGGCGGCCGCTGGCGGAACTACCGCGCACGGCCCGCACACGGGCCTGGCGGCCGCCAGTGGAACTACTGCGCAGGTGGCAGCACCTACCCGTGGAGAAGCGGCTGGCAATCGGCCGCCCCACTCCCCACCCCGCCCCCACCCAGCTGGCCGCCAGACCGTGGGAACGACTCGGCTCAGCGCTGCCGGCCGCTGGACGGGGAAACCCCGCCCCGCCGCCCGCCGCCCAACACACTGCCGCCGGGCCGGCCGGTGGAATTTTCCAGCCGTCTCTCCGGAACGGCGGCACCCCGCTCATCTTCGCACGCGCATTCAGCGGCGGGTTGTCGATTTTTCGAGTGTCGGCTGCCGATCTCCCGAGAGCCGGCCACCTGTCAGCCGCCGCTCGGCTCCGTGTTAAGCATATGGGGACGGCGAATTTCTCCCGGAGGGAAGCACCTCGCTCACAAAAGCACGTGAATCAGCCGCATTCCTGTGTGGCGCGCAATGCTGAAGAGATATGTGTTTCCGCGGGTATCTCGCAGGCCCTAAGAGAAAAAGCTCGCTGCAAAAACTCAGCGCTTCAAAAAACCCGCAATCCTACTCAAATGGATATTTAAACAAGATATCTTGGCTCGCTCCGCGTCGCTTTGGCAATCAAAGTATGAGGGAGAAAATTTGGGATCGATTGGTGTTCGTCCCGTGTTAATCGGACGTCTAGAAGCTTAGATATTCACGAAAAACTTGTTGAACTTGCAAAAGTACTTGGTACTTGCTTGGTACTTGCCAAAGTACTCGGTACTTGCCAAAGTACTTGGTACTTGCTTGGTATTTGCATAAGTACTCGGTATTTGCCAAAGTACTTGGTACTTGCTTGGTATTTCCATAAGTACTTGGTACTTGCTTGGTACTTGTAAAAGTACTTGGTACTTGCTTGGTACTTGCGAAAGTACTTGGTACTTGCACTCGCCCCCCCCCCGTTCCCCCGACTCTACTCCCACACCTACCCCCTCGGGATAATTCCGGGTTCGTCGGGTAGGAAAACTTGCCACTCTACCCCCTCCCCCCCCCCCCACACACACACAGAGCCATTTGGTATCGATCGGTGTTTATCCCGTGTCAATCGGTCGTCAATAAGCCGAGATATGCACGGCGAATTATTTCAATCGGCGTCGATCAGAATCTTCAGAACGGAGGGACCCACACTCATTTCTGGCCGTATCTCACTTTTCCGAGATGTACGTCAAACTACGTATTTAAAACTACATATTCTAAGGCCGAATCTTCAAACTGGGGGTACCTCAGACCGTGGGAACGACTCGGCTCAGCACTGCCGCACGCGCATTCAGCGGCGGGTTGTCGATTTTTCGAGTGTCGGCTGCCGATCTCCCGAGAGCCGGCCACCTGTCAGCCGCCGCTCGGCTCTGTGTTAAGCATATGGGGACGGCGAATTTCTCCCGGAGGGAAGCACCTCGCTCACAAAAGCACGTGAATCAGCCGCATTCCTGTGTGGCGCGCAATGCTGAAGAGATATGTGTTTCCGCGGGTATCTCGCAGGCCCTAACAGGAAAAGCTCGCTGCAAAAACTGAGCGTTTCAAATAACGCCAAATCCTAGTCAAATGGATATTTAAACAAGATATCTTGGCTCGCTCCGCGTCGCTTTGGCCATAAAAAGATTCGGGAGAAAATTTGGGATCGAATGGTGTTTTTCCGGTGACGATCGGACGTCTAGAAGCTTCGATATTGGCGAAAAACTTGCTGAACTTGAAAAAGTACTTGGTACTTGCTTGGTACTTGCCAAAGTACTCGGTACTTGCCAAAGTACTTGGTACTTGCTTGGTATTCGCATAAGTACTCGGTATTTGCCAAAGTACTTGGTACTTGCTTGGTACTTGTAAAAGTACTTGGTACTTGCTTGGTACTTGCGAAAGTACTTGGTACTTGCTTGGTACTTGCGAAAGTGCTTGGTACTCGCAAACGTACTTGGTACTGCACTTTTGTATGTTTCGACTACCTGGTCTGTTTTGTATGTTTTGCACGTTGTATGTTACGACTTCCATGTATGCTTTGATAAGTGTACGCTGCGGTCTTGTATGCGCCCGACTGCGGTTGTACCGCTCCCGTGTCAATCGGTCGTCAATAAGCCGAGATATGCACGGCGAATTATTTCAATCGGCGCCGATCAGAATCTTCAGGACGGAGGTACCCACACTCATTTCTGGCCGTATCTCACTTTTCCGAGATCTACGTCAAACTACGTATTTAAAACTACATATTCTACAGCCGAATCTTCAAACTGAGGGTACCTCACTCACAATCGCACGTGCATCAGCCGCATTCCTGTGTGGCGCGCAATGCTGAAGAGATATGTGTTTCCGCGGGTATCTCGCAGGCCCTAAGAGAAAAAGCTCGCTGCAAAAACTCAGCGTTTCAAAAAACCCGCAATCCTACTCAAATGGATATTTAAACTAGGTGACTTGCTTGCTCCGCGCGCATGATTGGGCCACAGGAGATTTGCAGCAGCCAAACGACGGGATTAGCCAATTCGAGCAGTGAATGTTTATGTGAAATCTAGCAGCAGCGATTTACCTAACTGGGCCAGGGGACAGGTCACAGTAGTTGACATGGCGAATCATTCTGACATGAATTCAGAAGGTTGACAGCGGTAATGCTGGCGTGCTAAGCTACGCTACAAAAACCGCCCTGTGTAGGCAGCATGCTCAGTAGGAGAAAAAGAGCAGTGAAGTAGAAGTAGTGTAAATGTAGCGTGCTGCTATGGCGATACACAATAGGAAGGCCGATTAGGAAACAGAAGTAAGCAAAGTGTCAAAGCGGCATTAGGCGACACACTGACCGGATTAGACACAGTCAGAATGACTTGCTGGGATTAGCTGGACTGGTCTGGTCCGATTGCCTGACAGAGCTTATCGGATCCGGGGTTTGTTGGCGTCAGCTGCGGCTGCTGGCGGCAGCCGGTGTCGATGACTGGCGGCCCTGCTGGTTAACTGCATGGTGGCGAGAAATGTAGTCAGGGACACGGCATAAGGAAGTCAAAAGGCTCGGAGTCTTAGCCAGGCATAGTTCAGGGTCGCCGTGCCGAGGTGATGGATAGATTGAAGGTTTTATAGGGAACATCAAGGTCGGCTCCGCACACTGAACACAGCCTGTTACCAGGGTGCACTGTCGTGGAAGTGCTCCGAGCGCGCACCCCGCCCTTAACACGTTTTTAAAGTAACTTTGAAATATGATTTAAGCACAATGAAATGAGTTAAGCACACTGAAATGTCAATGTCAGCCTCCTGATGAACTTACGTTAACGATGTCAAACTTTTAGTATAACGGTTAAGGGCCCGTTACGTCAGCGCGTACCGGCATACACTCACTCACGCGCAATCATTCACCACTCCAAATACCCACAGCACCGAAAGGGTTAAGCACAGGATGCAGATGCAGCCACGCACTCACTCACTGGCACCCCCCGACGTAAGACTCGCCCCGCAGCGGTTTAGACTCCCCCTATCAAGGGGTGAAGTGTCCGATCGATCACACGACACGGACTTCAGACGTTCACACGTCTGAAAGGGGGTCTCACAACCGACAGCGACGCGCCTAACAACCGTCACACCTGACAGTTGACACAGTTACAGTCACGCACACATTCGCACACGGACTCACTCACTGACACGCTCAGACGTAAGACTCGCCCCGCAGCGGTTTAGACTCCCCCTATCAAGGGGTGAAGTGTCCGATCGATCACACGAAACGGACTTCAGACGTTCACACGTCTGAAAGGGGGTCTCACAACCAACAGCGACGCGCTAACATTTCCAGACTAAAAAATCCCAGCACACGGACCACCAGCCGTACCACACGACTGACCACAGGAGTATCTGACCGCTCTTGGACGCCGCCGCCTGACTATACTTCCGATAACGTTTAAGATTACGGCCGATGACGCACCCGCTTCCTAACGCCCAATACGATTGGCCGCAGCCTACAGTTGGCCGTCGACATTGACCACCCGGACAGACAGAGTGGCCCTCCCACTCAAGGAGCAAGGGCTTCCTCCGGCCACTCCGGGCTCAACGTCATAGCAATTGGGTGAAGGACGGCACAACGCGGGGTACATCCGATCGTCGCTCGACAACCGAACTAAGATAACGCCCCATAACGCACCCGTATGACGCCCGATCCTGGCGCGCGCACCTCACAGAACCTCTCTGTATACGACATTCCGCGTCCGATGGTTGTGCGTGGAAAGCACCTCGACTGAATCAAAGCTGCCTACGCGCGAGAGAGCCACGTAGAACTGGCCATGAGTGAAGGCCGGGGATGGCAGATATATGCCCACGCGTCGCTTAGTCTGCCCTTGGCAGCGATTGATGGTCATGGCGAATGACAGCTTGACGGGGAACTGACAGCGGCGGAATGGTCGGCCGATGCCGGAATCGACAGCGCTCACCACCAGAGGGAGGCGCGGCAAAAACAGCGTCTCGCCACGCGCGACTCCACTGGCGATTCGCAGCTCGAGCACGTTGGGCGCGGCGCGCAGCACCGTGCACAGCGTGCCGTTCACGACGCGCGGAGCGTCGAGGTTGCGCATCAACACGACCGGGGCGCCGACCTTGACCTGAAGTCGATGCGACGGCATGCCCGACACGTCGATCGCGTTGAGCACCTCGGTGGGCACCGGAGGCCCGTGATCCTCGTTGTCGTCGTCACTGATGGTGTCGACGCTAGCGTACGTGACTGTTTCGCCGGGCAGAAGGGCCAGCGCGGCCTCATTCGCCCTGTCAACGGTCGCATTTAGCGGCGAGAGGATGGCGCGCTCATGCAGCCACTCTTCATCACGGTGTCGCCCGGCCATGTCAGGGAAAATGCGATCGACCAAGGCGGCGAGACTGCGCGCCGGACTGACCACCAACTCGGGCACCTGCACCGAGTCCGGCTGTGCCACGACGGGCAGCCGGCCGTCGCCGACGCGCAGCAGGAAGTTGGCGAACTCACCGGCCTGATCGTCGCCGTTCAACGCCCGCATGTTGGTCGCGAGCTCCATGGTGTCGATCCGAGGCCACATGGGCGATGACTTGAGGCAGGCGTCAACAACCTCTGCGCGCCCGCCGCGCTTCACCACTGGCAGGATCTGTCTCCAGTCGCCAGAGAGCAGCGTCAGAACGCCGCCAAACAGCTCTTGCCTGTCGCGGACGTCTTGGAGAGCCCGGTCGACCGCCTCAGTGGCGCGCCGGTTCGTCATGGCCGCTTCGTCCCATACAATGAGGCGACAGCGGCGAAGGTAGTCGGCCTCGGGAGAGCGGCGATCAATGCCGCAGACGTTCTCGTTGTCAGGATGCAGCTGCAGAGGGATCTTGAACCGATGATGGGCAGTCGTGCCGCCCTCCAACAGGCTGGCTGCGATGCCGGATGTGGCCACTGCAACTGCCACGTGTCCCCGGCTGCGCACCTTGGCCAGCAGCAGGTTCTCCAAGAACGTCTTCCCGCAGCCGCCTGGAGCTTGCAGGAAGATGACACCCGACTCGTCATTGTCCAGCCGTCGCAGCACCTCGTCATAGACGGCGCGCTGGTCATCCGTCAGACGCGGCTCGTCGCGCTCAACGCGATCGGCCAGAGCGGCCGGGTCGTACTCGGGACCGCCGGGCGGCTCGTCGTCGTCGCCATCGGCGGCGGCGGCGGCGTCCGGCACCGGCGGCACCGGCAGTCCGTACTCCGCCAGAGATCTGCCGCGCAGCCGGCGGAGAATGCCAGCGATCTTCCGCAGCGCCTGCTGGCGCACTTCGTCCTCGGTGAGACCACGTCTGCCAGCCGCGCGAGCGGTGCGCTGACGGCGAGCGATGTCCTCGGACAGGGCGTCCGCGAACCTCATCCACAGCGCCATGGGATCGCACGTAGCCTCTCCCTCGATCAGAATCAGAGCGAAGAGGAAACGCAAACCACCTGCAAAGCGCGTCACACTCGCCTCCTCCAGTGCGCGCGCCCAGTGCGCTCCGTCCTCGAGCAGCCCCAGTGCGGAGCACGCCTCGCGCATGGTGGCACACACGCGGCCATCGACCGTGCGGAGGTGCTCGTAAGAGCGCGGACCTCGGACGCTGTGAAGGAGCAGGCGAAGAAAGAAAACTTCGCCCGCGCGCGGCGTCGTGGTGTACACGCGCGACAGAGTCTCAGAGGCAACCACGCCCGGCACCTCGGGGTGAGGCTGGCCACGGACGCGGCGTTTCCAGTGGGCCGGACGGGCGTCTGCGCCCCGGCCGCGTCGCACCTGCCACGTGTAGTATCGCGGCACCTCTGGGTAGAGGAGTGTCGCCGCGAACGCGTCACGCTGGCACAGCTCAAAGAAGGCTGTGAGCATGGATGGATTAGCCTGCTCGCCCGCGATGACCGCTTCCAGGTTTTCGTCGCCGCGGAACACGACACGTCTCTCGTCGTCACCGAGATGCAGCTGCAGCCGCTGGACCGGCGGATGATGGACGTGGACTGGTCGGTCGAGCAGCCGCCACGCTGCCTCCATGGATCCCAGGTACCGGCTGTTCTGATACTGGGTCACCTCGTCAACCACGCCGTCGGGCTGCACGGCGAACATGATCCTATCCGAGCCCTTGGTGACGTACTTGATGCAGTAGCGGATCGCTCCCATCGCGTGCGTGATCAGCTCGACGTTGACGTGTGAGTCCAGCGCGCGAAGGATGTGCGGATTGTAGGGAACGATCCAGCGGTTGTCGATTTCCACACCGCGCCGTCCGGGCGTCCGCGCACGTTGACCGCCGTCCTCCGGCGCGCGCCGCCTGTACTTGGGATAGCTGCGCTCTGGCAGCTCTGTGGCCTCCAGATACGGGCGCGGATAGCCGACGCTACAGCGGCCGTCCTTCATGCAGACCGCCTGCGGGTTCAGCGCGCCGCACGGACCATGCACCATCTTGGTGCAGACGATCGCGTGCAGTTCCGGATCGGTCTCGGGATCTGGCAGCTCAGCGCACACGCACGTGTCCACGTCTTCGGCGCGAGGTTTGTCGGCGGGCACGACCCACAGCAGAAGGTGAGCGTGCGGCAGGCCACGCTTCTGCCACTCAATCGTGTGCAGAATGGCCCGCTGTCGACCCAGGATGCCGCCCCGCAGCTGCTTCAGCAGCGCCTGCAGCTTGAGGTCAAACACCTGACTGACAACGTCAGGGTGGTCGCACGGCCGATCGTAGTCGCCCGGCCTCTCTCCCGGGTAGAGGGTGCGCAGAGTTTGCTCAATCTCTGGCCAGGCCGGGTTGCACGTCACGGTGATGAAAAAGTCGGCGGCGCCAAAGTCTCGAACGTAGCAGAGAGCGTCTTGTAGTTTGGCCATCATGAAGCGCGGACTACTCGTTACGGATGCCGGCAGCACCACGCGCCGTCCGACGGCTCGGCCGTGCTCCTCGCCGTCAGCCAGCGCGTCTCGCACGCCGCGGATGGTCTCGGCGCGGAAGCCGTTGAAGCCGTCCTGGTTCGCGCGCACATACGACAGACGACTCGACTCAGCTTTTGCCTCAGTGTCCACCAGGTACTGTTGAAACAGCCGGCCCCCTCGCGGAATGAGATTGAAATGACCCGGTCGGAAGCGCATGTGGAACGCACCATACTGACGGATTGTGACGCCGCGCTCGGCCTTCAGCTCGAGCGACCACCCGTCCGTGCCGCGCGGGTGCAGCAGCACATAGAGCAGCGGGTCGTACTGGCGGCTCAGTTCGTCGATGCGGAACAGTTGTCCGCCGCGCTCGCGAACGACGATGTCGCGCCGGCCCCCCATCTCATTGGGCATCAGGACCGCCACTTCGCGACCGATCGGTAGATTGAACCGGCGCTCGTGCTCCGACAGCGGCCGGTGTTCGGCCGACAACACGATCCGGCAGTTCGGCACACCGCGCGCCATCAGCAGAGCCGGCTGGAGCGCACGCACGTAGTTGTTGTGCTCGTGCAGCATGCCCAAAAGGATGTCGAGAACGGCTCTGTCGAGGCCGCCACACATGGTGGCACGTCGCGCGGTGGCCTCGTCTGCGTCGAGGAAATACACCTGCATGAACTGCTCCTCGCCGCCGCGAGCGGGCAGTAGAGATCCCATACGATGACACACGCTACCCTGAACGGTGAAAGCCGCGTGATACGCCCCGTCGTGTCGGACGACGTTGCACCCCATACTGGCCAGCTGGAAGGCCGTGTTGTAAGCGCGAATTTTGCCCCGAAACTCGTCATAGAACGCCGTGCCGGGGGTCATCAGCTCCACCATCTCGTCCGGCGGCGGGGGATGGAAGTCAAGCTGCACCTTGCCCTGATGGCAACAGGCGCCTGCGGGCTCGGCACGCCAGCGCAGCGCTCCACAATGGGCACAGACGGTGTCCATTCGGCCCAGCTGCATGCCAGCCGGCGGCTCGAACTCGGCGGGGACATAATTGCGAGCCAGCAGGTGCTGGTCGCCTCGACGACGGGCGGGCGCGTCCACCGGAGCCTGTCCATCAGCGCCCCCCACTGCCTCCGCGTCGTGCGCATCGGCCGCGGGCTGGCGGGCCGCTGCGCCGTCTGGCGCATCGACCGCTGCCGCCTCCACAGCGTCTACAGCATCATCGGGCGTGTGGGGCGCCTCCTCTCCTACAGCGCCGCCCACTGCCTCCGCGTCGGGCGCATCGGCCGCGGGCCGGCGCGCCGCTGCGCCGTCTAGCGCATCGACCGCTGCCACCTCCACAGCGTCTACAGCATCATCGGGCGTGTGGGGCGCCTCCTCTCCTACAGCGCCGCCCACTGCCTCCGCGTCGGGCGCATCGGCCGCGGGCCGGCGCGCCGCTGCGCCGTCTAGCGCATCGACCGCTGCCACCTCGACAGCGTCTACAGCACCATCGGGCGTGTGGGGCGCCTCCTCTCCTACAGCGCCGCCCACTGCCTCCGCGTCGGGCGCATCGGCCGCGGGCCGGCGCGCCGCTGCGTCGTCTGGCGCATCGGCTACTGTCGCCTCGACAGCATCTACAGCACCATCGGGCGAGTGCGTTGCCACCTCTCCTACAGCGCCGCCCACTGCCTCCGCGCCGGGCGCGACGTCCGCGACACCGCCCACCACCGGCGGTTCAAACGCAGTCGGTGGTGCGATCGGCTGATCCGCCACACCAGCAGCAACAGGTGGCTCAAGACCTGCGCCGTCTCTCCCTGTCCTGACCTTAGTGCGAGCCGTAGCCATTCTCTCACGATTGCGTCGCTGACGCTCGGCGAGCTCAGCCTCCGATTCACGCTCCCTCCTAAGTCGATGACGCTCCCGGTCACGCTCGCGTCGCGCGGCAGCGATATCCGCGGCAAGGATGACCGGCGGCTGGGCCCCCGATGGACCGGGAACCGGCACTGCATCGACTACCGCCTGATGGGAAGGGCCCGCGCCACCTGTCTGATCTCTTTGTCTAGCGCGCGCCAGAGCCTGGCCTTCACGTTTACGTTGCAGGCGAAGAAGTCGCTCAGCCTCAGTTTCTCGCTCTCGGGCGAGGCGACGACGCTCGCGATCACGCGCCCGTCTCGCGGCCGCGGCGTTCACCGTCGGATCTACGGACTGACCGTTACGTTGACCGTTTGCGGGTTCAGCTGCATCGCCATCGACCATCAGACCGTCAGCGCGCCGTGCCACCGTCTCCGGCGCTGGCCCCGGAGGGTCGGCGGCGGTCGGGCGACTCGGCGACGTTGGCGGAGGTGTTTGACCCGACATTGCGAGCAATTCTGGAAATGGAACAAAGGAACGGGATTACAATCGGAATCTGCTAGGAGGAGGCAAAAGGGTAATACTGTTTGAAATTGTTTTAACGGACTTTCACTGGATAGTGGGTAAAAGTTATTATTGGTCCCGTTCGATGGGGCACACATAGGTTTAAAACAGACAAAAATCAGGTAGCCATTTTTCGCAACACATCAATCAAATTTCTAAATATCCAGCACGTGACGCACAACTTGCCTATTCTCATATGTAAAACATAGCCAATAGGTACACTTCCTCTTCCAAAGAAAAACTACTGTTTTAGAGCACTGTCCCATATGGGGCTAAGCGAGAATTTACCCACGCCCTGGTTTAAAGACGGATTGCACACTCGAATTTCGATCGCTTCTCTAACCACACGGCGACCCCATGTCGGCTCCACAGCTGCAGTGCTGGCCTGCCTCGGGTCGAACTGCCGCCCACACTGTAGCCATTCAAAGCATTTAACCAAATCCATCAGGCACTACTACCACATGACTCACCCCAGTTCAAATGGTTAAAATTCAAAATTCGGGTCGGGTCGGGTCGGGTCGGGTCGGGTCGGGTCGGGTCGGGTCGGGTCGGGTCGGGTCGGGTCGGGTCGGGTCGGGTCGGGTCGGGTCGGGTCGGGTCGGGTCGGGTCGGGTCGGGTCGGGTCGGGTCGGGTCGGTCGGTCGGTCGGTCGGTCGGTCGGTCGGTCGGTCGGTCGGTCGGTCGGTCGGTCGGTCGGTCGGTCGGTCGGTCGGTCGGTCGGTCGGTCGGTCGGTCGGTCGGTCGGTCGGTCGGTCGGTCCTGCTGACCGATATCTTTTTCAAGATCACATTAGTGCCTGCAATCCACAACTACCACGCCTCTGCCATTATCAATTTTTTGTTAGAATATTATTTTTTACCACACCTCTGCCATTATCAATCTTTGTTAGAATAATATTTTTTAAGCTTTTCATTTAAACTCAAAGCATTTAACCAAATCAATCAGGCACTACGGGATTACAATCAGAATCTGCTAGGAGAGGGCACATGGGTAATACTGTCTTATCAATAGACAAACACCAAACACAATCCATCTGCCAGCGTCAGTTCTTTATGTTAGATTATAATAATTTTATAATTTTAATTACAGATTTAAGTATTTAGTTATAACAGTCTGGCGCACTACCACAATGCTGCTAGCCTGAGTTCAAACACAGAGAGAATTTCAAATTCAAGCAATAATTTAGCACCATAGCAGCCACCTTTGCAATGATATATCAATTCTTTATTAGAATGTTATTTTTAAGCCTTTCATTTACATTCAAAGCATTTAACCAAATCAATCAGGCGCTACTACCACATGACTCATCCCAGTTTAAATAGTTAAAATTCAAAATTAGTTGAGTCGAGTCGAAAAACAACAGGTGGTCCTAACTTCGCTCTTTCAAGAACATTATGCAATCAGCTGACAGCTGATTGCAGCTGTTGCTATATCAACACTGTTTACAGATGTAATAAAGGTAGAAAAATAGCCAACAACTCACATCTAGCACCTAGCCCCTAGAGAACATCTACTGTGCAACCTACGTTTCAATGACGGATGCAGTCACACACTGACATATAGATCGAAAATGTCATGTTTTTCCTGCTATCACTGCCTTATGCAACCTCCAAACACTGAAGAAATTCAGTAATTTAAGAGAGAAAAGAAAAAAAACTCATCCTCCAAGTTCCAAAAGTGACACCACACATCAAAACTCACAATACATTTTACACAAACATTTTATGTACCAAACCACCACCCCGAGCAAGGTAAGGTTGAGTTATGTTAGGTCAGATTTGGTCAAGACAGGTTACGTTCTGCAAATTTAAATTAGGTCCAGCTTCTATAGCAACTGATGACTGACTGGAGAGAACCAAAATGTCTCCTGTCTAACAGGAAATTTTTGCACAAATGTGCCAAAAAAAGAACAGGCAGCCCTATCTTTGTACTTTGAAGTAAATCATGCAGTTAGCTGAGCGCTGCAGCTCCAACTACCTTTTCCACCCTTTGCAAAGCACAAACTGAATGAATTCAGGCAATAAAATATGAAAACATCCTTCTAAGATTGGAAAATAACATCACGCATTGATACTCACAATACTTTTTATTTAAAAAAAATATTTATGACTCACCTGACCATACGCTGGGCCAAATAAGGCTTAGTTACATTGGGAATGGCAAGGTCATATTAGAAGGGAAGGGTTCAGCTTTTGCATTTCTGCTGACGCCACACCTGTTCTGTTGGTTTTATGCACATTTAGAGCCCTGGGTTCAGAGGGCGGCTTTAAATGTCTCCTGTCTAACAGGAAATTTTTGAACAAATGTGCCAAAAAAGGAGCAGGCAGCCCTATCTTTGTACTTTGAAGTAAATCATGCAGTTAGCTGAGCGCTGCAGCTCCAACTACCTTTTCCACCCTTTGCAAAGCAGAAACTGAATGAATTCAGGCAATAAAATATGAAAACATCCTTCTAAGATTGGAAAATAACATCACGCATTGATACTCACAATACTTTTTATTTTAAAAAAAATATTTATGACTCACCTGACCATCCGCTGGGCCAAATAAGGCTTAGTTACATTGGGAATGACAAGGTCATATTAGAAGGGAAGGGTTCAGCTTTTGCATTTCTGCTGACGCCACACCTGTTCTGTTGGTTTTATGCACATTTAGAGCCCCGGGTTCAGAGGGCGGCTTTAACCTGCTAGGTAACTGCTTTTCAAGTTCCTAACATCACGTTTCACCATCACCATATTAAAAAAGTTCAAAATGTTTTAAGCAGCAGACTAATAAAAACTGGCAAAAACTAAACTTTTGCTTCAAATTGTTTCATGAGGCAAAATATTAGGATAAATCACTTCAATTAAAGGCAATCATGCACGCGCCACGTTAGCCGCGCCACTTGCATTTTTCGTAATAAATAAGCCTTTATGCACCAAAACCACCTTTGAAAAATCATCCCAGTAATTAACAACAGCTCTCAAGGTCAATTGGCATTCATATGTAATCTTAACACCCTCCAAATTCAAAATGTTTTATCTAAATCATTGTGACGCATCCACCACCAAGCTCACCTCGGTCCAAACACAACGGCCGATTTAGTGATGAATATTAAGCGTATTAAAAGAAATGCCTATTTGAAGGAGTTCATGAATACTTTGTTACACAGAAATGCTTGCCATATTTTTCTACTTTTTTAGAGCTAAACTATGTCTTACTTTGCAGTCCCTCTATCGTATTATGGTATGTAACTATAGTGACGCAGTTTGCTCTCCGCAGCTGGAGCAAACATTTGTCGAACCCGGTTCTGACGGAAATCGTACGATTAGAGATTTTCGAGTCCTACTTGCAAAATGTTTTACCTATTATTTGTATCATGTTTTTCGATCGTCCCTCAATCAATTCCACCCTCTGTCGGCCCCAACTTACCTGAATTTTTGGCGAGTCCGGGCTCGTCCGGTGACGAAAACCGGCCGATCTAGTACGGGCGGACGCCGGCGCCGCGGCCGAGCAGACGGCCCGTCACGGAAGTTGCAGACGGGAGATGATCGGCATAAAGCGCTCGTGTATCTCGGCAGCATCGTGTATTGAGAAAAAAAAGACGATTTCACGATTTATAAATGCGTTACGCTTATCATATGTACATGCACATTGCACACCGGCGCCGGGCCGGCCGGTGGAATTTTCCAGCCGTCGGCCGGTAATTTTTCTCCGGAATGGAGGGACCGCCATCGAGTTTGTCACGTGAATCAGCCGCATTCCTGTGTGGCGCGCAATGCTGAAGAGATATGTGTTTCCGCGGGTATCTCGCAGGCCCTAAGAGAAAAAGCTCGCTGCAAAAACTCAGCGCTTCAAAAAACCCGCAATCCTACTCAAATGGATATTTAAACAAGATATCTTGGCTCGCTCCGCGTCGCTTTGGCAATCAAAGTATGAGGGAGAAAATTTGGGATCGATTGGTGTTCGTCCCGTGTTAATCGGACGTCTAGAAGCTTAGATATTCACGAAAAACTTGTTGAACTTGCAAAAGTACTTGGTACTTGCTTGGTACTTGCCAAAGTACTCGGTACTTGCCAAAGTACTTGGTACTTGCTTGGTATTTGCATAAGTACTCGGTATTTGCCAAAGTACTTGGTACTTGCTTGGTATTTCCATAAGTACTTGGTACTTGCTTGGTACTTGTAAAAGTACTTGGTACTTGCTTGGTACTTGCGAAAGTACTTGGTACTTGCACTCGCCCCCCCCCCCGTTCCCCCGACTCTACTCCCACACCTACCCCCTCGGGATAATTCCGGGTTCGTCGGGTAGGAAAACTTGCCACTCTACCCCCTCCCCCCCCCCCCACACACACACAGAGCCATTTGGTATCGATCGGTGTTTATCCCGTGTCAATCGGTCGTCAATAAGCCGAGATATGCACGGCGAATTATTTCAATCGGCGTCGATCAGAATCTTCAGAACGGAGGGACCCACACTCATTTCTGGCCGTATCTCACTTTTCCGAGATGTACGTCAAACTACGTATTTAAAACTACATATTCTAAGGCCGAATCTTCAAACTGGGGGTACCTCAGACCGTGGGAACGACTCGGCTCAGCACTGCCGCACGCGCATTCAGCGGCGGGTTGTCGATTTTTCGAGTGTCGGCTGCCGATCTCCCGAGAGCCGGCCACCTGTCAGCCGCCGCTCGGCTCTGTGTTAAGCATATGGGGACGGCGAATTTCTCCCGGAGGGAAGCACCTCGCTCACAAAAGCACGTGAATCAGCCGCATTCCTGTGTGGCGCGCAATGCTGAAGAGATATGTGTTTCCGCGGGTATCTCGCAGGCCCTAACAGGAAAAGCTCGCTGCAAAAACTGAGCGTTTCAAATAACGCCAAATCCTAGTCAAATGGATATTTAAACAAGATATCTTGGCTCGCTCCGCGTCGCTTTGGCCATAAAAAGATTCGGGAGAAAATTTGGGATCGAATGG